ACGCTTGCACGCCGCATTACTTTTAGTAGAACAATTTGAAATTTAGGAGGACCATCTAAATTTCAAACTAGATGGACCTGTAGACCATCTCTTTTTTTCTTCCTTATTTCTACCCCTGATATATATATATATACATATATATATATATATATATATATTAGTGTAGGAAGTCACACAATGCCAATGGAAATGAAGAACAACAAAATAAATTGAATTGAATTGGGTCAAACGTTCGTGGGTTTAGCCATTTGCTGACCAGACCTACCGAGGTCACCACACCTGGAATAAAAAAAAGCAGTTATTACCCCACTCCAGTAGTAGATGCAGAGAACTCCCAGTGCCAGTGCCATGTCTATCTACCTGGCACTCATTTGAAATATAACTGGTAAGCATCAACGACATATTTAGATACAATGTAACACAGCAGAAATGCCAGATTACGTTATTATATTTAGAATACCTTTGGCCAATACATCCGTAACAACAGGAAGGCAATTTTATATAAACACTGAGTCACAGTGGCTAGAGCTATGAATGGGGGAAACATACAGCAGTCATTGAGTCAATACAACAACAACTTGTGTCTGGGTAGTTTTACTGCATAGCCCACGGTTACGTGGATAATAACGCAGGGACATTCCGTAAGGAATAAACGTCCAGGTCTATAGCTAGCCATGGGGTGGGTCAGTGACCTAGCTTGGGTAAAGCTAGCCACAAGTCCCCTTCTCGCTTAACACTACGTTGGTACACCTACGACGTGTAACAGTCGGAGAGCCTGGTCGGGCTAGGGTAAAGCTAGCTCTAGTACTATAGCCCGCGTACAGTTGCCGCAAGCCCGCTTGCCTGCGGCAACTGTACACAGGCTACTACTAAAGCTAGGGTAAAGCTAGGTAGTTAGCCTTTTACTTTTCGCAGTGGCTATGCATCCGGAACCGGTCACCTAGCCTCCAGGCTACGCGTTCGGACATCCACTCACACAGTAATCGCGCGACTCGCGTACATGCATGATTGCGCAACGAGACGCTTTGCTGCCGTCTATCCTTTCATCTGTCCTCTCTCGCTCTCTCGCTCTCGCACACACACACACAGCTCGCTCTCTCTCTCACTCTCTCACACACACACCTCTGAGGATCTCTCTCTCTCTCTCACGCGCCATACACACACACAATACACACATTCCCATTCACCTCTCTCTTCTCTCTCTCTACGCATACACACACACGTACACATTCCCATTCACTCTCTCTCTCTCTCACACACACGGCAATTAGCAGATCGTCCCATTGCACAATCATGCGTGTACGTGTCGCAAGCTCACTGTGTGAGATGGATGTCCGGACGCGTAGCCTAGCGTCTCCTCGTCCGGAACGCGTCGCGCTAGCCACGCCTTTTAGCGCGCCTTAGCCTTAGTGTCGATAAGGATTGATGATGAACACGTAGAGACATTAGGTAAATCATAAAAATGTCGCTTTTAGCGGTTAATAATCGTTATGGTGAGAATATCCATATAATATAACAACATACTGATCGCTATGTGTCGTGTTTTTCCTATGATAATGACTCGCTACTTGAGCTCTGCTTCTAACACTGGGTGTCGCCATGTTGAGCACTTTCCAGGCTAAGCTAAGCGATAGCGGGTTCCAAGCACTCCAACTCCCAAACTCCACGACAGATGGAGCTCCCCGCTCATGGGCTCAACTACAATGGCTCAATGGTATTCCTGATGTGAGCGGAAGGGGGGCACTCACTGATCTCTATAAATATAATCATGTATATATAGAGATAATCATATCATCATATAATCATCATATCTAAATAAATCATATAATAATCATCATATCATTATATTATAGATTATATTATAGAGATCAGTTGGGGGCACTGCATGCAGTTTGTCCAACTCCTTGCTCCAAACTACCCCTGGGGCCGGTTTACGAAGCGTGATTACCTTTAATTATGTTTAAATCACTAATCAGTGATTAACTTCCCGATAATTATATTAGTTAATCATACTTAAAAATCTGTTTCACGAAGCGATTTAAGTACATTATCATATTATAGGCCTATATTATTTATTATATTATATTATTTATACGCGTCATTGCTCATAGGGTTATGTCCCCCAGGTACTGCCGGAACGTACCCTGGTACGGTCGCGCTATACCGGAACTACCTTGGTCACTATTTGAGATGGTTAGGATTAGGGTTAGGGTTAGGGAGTAGGCGTAGGCGACTTCCTAGACTCGTTAGTGAAGTAGCGAGTAACGCCGGCAATTAGATTCGTACAGTACGCTTTCGTATAGACGGCCACGATCTCC